TTCTACGTGGCATACCACTTCTGAAACTGTACTTATCAAGTCCTATGAAAATTACTTGGTTTTTAGCAAAAAAAATAAATTAACAATTGTGTATCTTAATGCTGTCTTGCATCTTTTACAATAGATTATAGTTCTGCCAAGCTTATATTTAAGATACACATTACCATTCCATTAAAAATATATAAAGTGTTCCCAAGAGTGACATTATGTCATACTGTATTTCTAAAAGGTCTTAGATGCTTTTCAGTTACTTTGAAAATTAATATTCTGATAATTAACCCCCTGGATATTTGAGGTGTGAATTATTTTTATATTTAACATAAAACTTTAATAATGGCATTCCATTTTCTTTTCTTTTAATCTATGCTGAGAGATAGATTTTTATATGGCCCTGCTATAGATCCAGGGAACCACACAATTGGGCCAATATCAGAGGTTCTGACAAACTAGGAATAAAGATGGAACTGAAAAACTCCAGTTGCTAAAAATTTTGAAGAAACAAGATCAAAAACTGTAAGATCTTAGTACCTGTACAAATAATAAGCCTGGGGGAGGGGAATTCATGCTTAATGTCCAGCGTATTAGTATTGCTTAAAGATTGGACAGATGGACTGCAGTGACTCTGGGAGTTAGAGAAATTAAAGAAAAACTATTTCTTTCCTAGACTGATTTCTTGAAACTGCCTTAAAAACTGTTAAAACACAGTTTATAACTACATAACAGGTAGCAGACCTCCAAGAAATTGTGAGATTATCCCAACCCAGTGGTGGCTAACCTTTTTGGGATCCTGTGCCAATAATTGCTTGCGTGCTTGTCTGCTTGTCCTCGCATGCCATCACCTAGAAGGCAATATGTACAGCACCCCCCCCATGCCTCCTGCACATGCGCGTGGAACCTGCGCAACCCATGCTGCACGCTTCTGCGCATGTGCATGCAATCCGTGTGACCCCGCTACGTTCTTCTGCACATGCGTGTCTCCTGCATGCCGCCATGACCCCGCACATGCACGCCAGATACCTCACTATCAGCTGTTGGGCAGGCAGTGCGCACGCATGCGCAGTAGACCTTTTCTGGATGAGTGCTTGCGTGCCAGCAGTTATGGCTCTGCATGCCACTTCCAGCACGTGTGCCATAGGTTCACCGCCAAGGTCCCAGCCTGACTAAATAAGGACTGAGTTTGTTACCCTAAGTGTTTTTGTTTTACTGTATTGTGGGAAACCAGATGATTTTGAACTATTCAGTATATTATATTTGTAAAAATCATGTATGGTTATGTGAATCCGGACTTTTTTTCTTTTTTGTTTTGTTTTGTTATGCTTTACCAAATAGTCAAGTCTTTCCACTGTCACATGTTGTATGTAAATTGGCCACTTTCAGATGGGTGAACTTTTAACTCCTACAATGGATTGCAACTATCATATTGGCTATGAAATGTTGGGAATTGAAGTCCACCCATCTTAAAAGATTGAGAAATACTGGATAGATAAAAGAGTTTGGAAACCTGGTTTATTTGAATAAAGGAAAAATAATATCTAATTGTTTGTCTTGACTTTATTTCTGATTTGTGAGGAAAATATCAAGTTAAGGATCCCAATGTGGCAAAAATATGGCATTTTCCAGATTTTGTCTGATTGTTTCTCAGGAGCATCTGTACTTCAGTTTAATTCACTTTCCCAATTTAATCATGTTCAAGGTAGATTAGGAAGAAAGATTATGAGTTGTGCAAAGGGTCACATTTGACACAGGATAGTTCTACAACTATTCATTCTACATTCTACAGTTTCAGCAAAATTGTAATGGTGAAACCAGAAAAAAAAATGTTATTGTAAATATGTGTCATTTCCACCATCTTTGCAGAGATGTTTGCAGAAAAAGTCTTGTTTTACACTGTGAAATTACTTACTATAGTAATGAAGTCAAGAATGTGCCTCAATTTTCTCATGTGAATAAAGGGGAAAAAAAACACATTACACCATTCCTAGATGATGATTTTCCAGAGTTGATGTGAATATTTGATAAACCAATCTTTTTGCTGTTTGAGAAATACAGTAGAATAGAATTCTTTATTGACCAAGTGTGATTGGACACACAAGGAACTGTCTTAATGCAAAGGCTTTCAGTGTACATAAAAGAAAAAATACATTCAAATATAAATTTAAGTGAATCTGGCTTCCCCATTAATTTTGCTTGTCAGAAAGTCGTAAAAGGTGATCAGGTTGCCAAGTGTGTGAATTTTGATCATGCGACCAACAAGGATGCTGCAACAGGTGTAAGTGTGAAAATGATCGTGTCATTTTTTTCAGTGCCATTGGAACTTTTAAACAGTCACTAAATGAATGGTTGTAAGTTGAGGACTACTTATACACAGTTTTAATTATTGTTGTCATGTAGATAATTTTGTAGCATAGATGGTTTTGTACATTTCAGAAGCTTAAATAAAGAAGATGCATTTATGGTCTGCAAAATAACCATATGCTTTTGAAGACATATATTATGCCTGATAAAATGATTATGCATTGAGCTGTGAGGATCTTCATGTTACGTTATATCAAATAAAGTGTACAATATTTTTGTGACATAATTTGTAGATATCCTCTATGAATATTTTCTGTAATTCAAAGGTAGTGTCAGTTTTAAACATGATACATGGCAATGAAAATTAAGAATTGTCCATGTTGCATGTATTTAAATGAGGCAATTGGGCTTTGTGATGTAACTTATTTTCATTTTTAAAAGCCTTTTCTGATCTTGTCAGGTATAGGTCCCAAGAATTATTTCGCATCTGAAGTCTTATTGTGAATTCAAATCATGTTAATCAACTCATTGCTTTTGCATTTCCACCTCTCCAATCACAATATACACTGCTCAAAAAAAATAAAGGGAACACAAAAATAAGACATCGTAGATCTGAATGAATGAAATATTCTTATTAAATATTATTTCATTAATAAGAATGAAATATTCTTATTAGATATTCTTATTAAAATTCTTATTAAATATTCTTATTAAAAACAATTACATAGTTGAATGTGCTAACAACAAAATCACACAAAAATTATCAATGGAAATCAAATTTAGCAACCCATGGAGGTCTGGATTTGGAATTACACTCAAAATTAAAGTGGAAAAAAACACTACAGGCTGATCCAACTTTGATGTAATGTCCTGAAAACAAGTCAAAATGAGGCTCAGTAGTGTGTGTGGCCTCCACGTGCCTGTATGACCTCCCTACAATGCCTGGGCATGCTCCTGATGAGGTGGTGGATGGTCTCCTGAAGGATCTCCCACACCTGGACTAAAGCATTCCCCAACTCCTGGACAGTCTGTGGTGCAATGTGGCATTGGTGGATGGAGCGAGAGGTCTGGGGAATGGGTGGGCCAGTCCATAGCATCAATGCCTTCGTCTTGCAGGAACTGCTGACACATTCCAGCCACATGAGGTCTAGCATTGTCTTACATTAGGAGGAACCCAGGGCCAACTGCACCAGCATATGGTCTCATCTCGGTACCTAATGGCAGTCAGGCTACCTCTGGCGAGCACATGGAGGGCTGTGCGGCCCCCTAAAGAAATGCCACCCCACACCATTACTGACTCACTGCCAAACCGATCATGCTGGAGGATGTTGCAGGCAGCAGAACGTTCTCCACGGCGTCTCCAGATCCTGTCACGTCTGTCACATGTGCTCAGTGTGAACCTGCTTTCATCTGTGAAGAGCACAGGGCACCCGTGGCAAATTTGCCAATCTTGGTGTTCTCTGGAAAACACCAAACGTCCTGCACGATGTTAGGCTGTAAGCACACCCCCCACCTGTGGACGTAGGGCCCTCATACCACCCTCATGGAATCTGTTTCTGACCGTTTGAGCAGCCACATGCACAGTTGTGGCCCGCTGGAGGTCATTTTGCAGGCCTCTGGCAGTGCTTCTCTTGTCTCTCTTTGCACAAAGGCAGAGGTAGCGGTCCTGATGCTGGGTTGTTGTCCTATGGCCTCCTCCACGTCTCCTGATGTACTGGCCTGTCTCCTGGTAGCGCCTCCATGCTCTGGACACTACGCTGACAGACACAGCAAACCTTCTTGCCACAGCTCGCATTGATGTGCCATCCTGGATGAGCTGCACTACCTGAGCCACTTGTGTGGGTTGTAGACTCCGTCTCATGCTACCACTAGAGTGAAAGCACCACCAGCATTCAAAAGTGACCCAACCATCAGCCAGAAAGTATAGGAACTGAGAAGTGGTCTGTGGTCACCAGACCACTTTATTGGGGATGTCTCGCTAACTGCTTATGCTTTCCACCTGTTGTCTATTCCATTTGCACAACAGCATGTGAAATTGATTGTCAATCAGTGTTGCTACCTAAGTGGACAGTTTGATTTCACAGAAGGGTGATCGACTTGGAGTTACATTGTGTTGTTTAAGTGTTCCCTTTATTTTTTTGAGCAGTGTATATCCAACAATATCCAGCTTTGTGAGTAGAAAGTGGAAGTAAATGTATGGACAAGTTTTCAAGTAAAAACACTACTCTGGGTATGAAGGCATCAGAAAGTAGACTGTGATCCACAAAACCCTTGAGATAATTAGTCTAGTAAGTAAATCCTACTAAAGTAATCATTTGCTTGAAAAAAGACTTGAATATCCACGGAAGCTAGATCAGCATGCTTATGTGTGTGGTTTTTAAGAATTATCTGAAGAAAAGAAAACGTATTTGGATTTTTACCCTGATTAAAACTCTTGAGGCAACCTTTTTGGAAAGATTCTTAATGTTATGTAGTTCATGCTACGATCTGTTATATTTTAAGGGCAGGGGAAGGAAAAGTACTGTTTTTGAAGGTTCTCTTTAAAAAAAAAAACACCCATAGGTACTTCTTGCTCTGCGACTGTTTCCTGCGTGTGTGTGTGTGTGTGCGCGTGTTTCTGTGTACGCGCGCGTGTGTGTGTATGTTATCAGGAGCAGGAAATAGGAGCTGGAAGAGCGAGCGAGTACAGAGGCTATTCCAGGCTACCGAAGGAAGGCGGAGGCGGAAGGGGACCATTTTAAATCATTTTTTCCCCTGTAGCAATAGCGAAATCGCCCTTTCCCCTTAATTTTCGGCCACGGGGAGGTGTGGCAAAGCTGCCTTAGGCCACAAAAGGTGAAGCCACCACGTGGGATGCATTATGGTGTTGCCAGTCTGACGGCGGCACATTTTGTGGTGTTAGACTGGAGGAGGGGAAAAGGAGAGGGCCGCTGGAAACCGAAGAGGGATAAGAGCCCGAGGAAACAACAGCAAAAGAGGAAGAAAAGCACCGGAGAAGCTCCCCCCCCCCCTACCGCGCACCCATCTCCTGCAAGCACCTCCCCAAAACAGCCACTTCCATGGTCTACAGATGCTAAAGATGGATTTTCTTTGTCAAGCAAACTGGGAAGTGATGTAAGTCCAACCCCCATCTCCTAATCAGGATCAGCCGGGCGAACGGGGAGGGGGTTTCGTAACGGAGCAGGGGAATTTTTGAGGGGTCAGAGTGGTGCTGCCTCCCCGAGAATGCGCTCGCTTGGGCTGCTGCCGAGGATGATGCCGTTGCTCTCCCGGGAAAGGAACGGTCCATGATTCTTCCTAGGGGGTTGGGGGGACATCGCCGGGTAGCAAACTGTGCGCCCCGTAGCCTCGGCCCAGCGCCTCGAGTCTCCGGGGAAAGGGGGGGGTATGGGGGGATGATGCGCGATTGTTTAGGAGAGAAGCAAGCGCTTCCCCATGGTTATTTGTATCATTCCTCCTCCCTACCCCATCTATATTTCTGAACCCCATTATTCTCGCCCCTGGATTTCTTTCTTTTAGGATCAACTCCCCTCCCCCTGTCGTTTCTTCCTCCCCAAAAGCTAGAAGGCTAAAGCCCTCATCTAATATTTGTGTTGACTATCCCTTGCTAAATCAGTTCTCACCCCTTCCTCAATTTAATGTTACCCATTCAACTTTGCTTTCCATTTTATATCAGGTTGGGGCTCCTGTCTTCCACCCCCCTTTTCCCCAGAAGGGCCTGTGGTGTTCCATTTCTCCCCCCCCCCCCCATCTTATTGCTGACTAATCTAAATTAATATTGTGTTTTTCCCCTCTCCCCAATTTGTAATTGCACATCTCTTCTCCATTAGACTGGGTTGTTCCTGTTAATTGCTTTCCTGATCCATAACCCCCCTTTTCCTTTCTATTTACCTTTCTAATCCTAGGACCTGTGTACCACTCTCCTAATCCAATTTTCCGTATTAAATTATGTCTAAAAAAGCTCAATAATTTGACAGCATCCAGGATTGGAAAGGTTGGAAATAAAGTAGGAGGGTAATCGGTAGGGATGGAGCACCCAACAAAGGGGCCAATGTCATTAAAGATATAATTGTTTTTTTTAATGGAAAACATAACTAAAATATCAGTGAGATGTATAATCTATTTTCTGGCCACTTTCCCCATTACTTGCCATACGGATGGTAGGGATTGTGCCTCTACATTCCCTACTGTATTTACTGCCCTTTCCATCTGCTGTTCCTTTACTTTCCCTGCATGCCATCTGGGCTTTGTGTTTTCTCCCCCCCACCACCACCACCTTTTCCTAGTTTGCCTGTCTTTTGTGAGCCTCCCTATATTTTTTAATGCAGACTGTACCCTCATTCTATCCCATACACAATTTTGGTCTGTATCTTGATACTTAATCTTGGATTTGTTCCCTGCCTAGACTTCTAATTAATCAAAGTCGGGATGTGAAACTAAGTAAGAACTCCAGATGAGTTGTGTTGAGTTCCATAATGGAAAAAAGGCAGAGCAGGAACATATTAAATAAGGAGTAAATCGACCTATATTGATCTTCTAGTTTGCAGTTAGGCTGCAATCCCATTAAATTCCAGGGGTGCTCTTCCCCCCCTCCCCCGATTCCACATCATGCAGCTAGAGGATGGATTGTTTGTTTGATTCCTCCCATTGCTGTCATAATACTTCCAGCAAGTTCCTTCTGCTTTTCCATTTGTTACATAACTTTTAAACCTATTCCCCATTCTACCTAATCAAATTCTACCTTATTAGGGTTCAGTCTTCAGACACTGATTCTGAAAAGATGCTGAGAATTTGCTGAGAGTTTTTGCTTGTCCTGAGGTATAAATGTGTGGCTTCCTTTCTATTTCATAACCCCAGAGGCATCTAATGCCCCTTATTTCATGGGTGGGAACTTGTAAGGAGGGACCAAGATGATGATGGGCGTTTGTTTTGAGTTCTTGCTCGTCTTTTTCCCTGAGCTTGATGTTGACTTTACTATGAGGCAATGGTAAAATTGTTGCCTCTGGAGGCCAACTTTAGATTTTGTGAATAGCAGAAGGTAAACAGCAAATCTCTAGGGCAGGGGTCTTTAACCATGGCAACTTTAAGACTTGTAGACTTCAACTCCCAGAGTTCCTCAGCCAGCAAAGGAACTCTGGGAGTTGAAGTCTACAAGTCTTAAAGTTGCCAAGGTTGGAGACCCCTGCTCTAGGATACAATCTGGTGGGACAGTCCCCTCTACAAGTTACGTTGATATGAATGGGGCACCTATTTAAGGCCATCTCGTGGTTCTGTTTTCAGTGTTGATTACTTCACACAATACTATGAGACATTCTTGCAATTTTGAATGCCCAAATAGGCACCATAGTTCGAGAAGTGATAAAACTGCATCCATGTACCTGACATTATGGAGCATTATGGAAATTACTTGGGTATGCCTTTCTCCAGTATGCCATCAATGGGATGAGTTTATGAAGGGTAGTTTTTTCTCTCACATTCTCCCTTTGTTTTGTTTTAGTTTTTCCTTTTAGTAATTCTTGGCCTTCTGTAGCTATCTATGGACACTAAATCTCTTTATTGTAGGTTTTTTAAATAGTAATCTTGTTAAATATTATAATTAAAAGGATAAAAACTAATACAAGAAAAAATAAGAACACAGTAAACAAGAAGAAAAAAACCATATAAACAAAAGACTTTCCCTTTATCACAACAAATATAAATAATTTTAGTAATTTATCAACTTTTAAAATACAGCAAATAATCTCTTCTTCCCCTATCTCTTCTGTTAACTATAAAAATATCCTACAAACCTCGTTATTCAGTCCTAGTTAGCAAATCTCAATTAAAGGAGATAAGAGAGATAACATCTATTTTAACCTTGATCAAATAAAACAATTTTATATTCCTTCCTTTACTTTTAGCAATCTTTAATCCCTTCAAACAATGTCCCAAAACTTTATTTCTTTTCATTTTTTCTTTGATCCGTCTCACAAAATCCTTTAAAAGTTTAACAAGTCCCTTTTGTAAATCCAGTGTAGAAAATTATCTTTTGGTTTGTTATTTACATATTCCTTTTAATTATTAAAACATCCAGTTTCATTTGTACATCCAATTTAGCATCTTTTTCTACATCATTGTTGTCGCCTATCATATTTAAATCCAGTTTTAGATCTGTCTCAGTCTTGTTCAGAAAAAGTTGTTCCTCTTCCATATTATTTTTTAAACACAGTATATCTATAAAGGCAGACACCGTTAAAATTAATTCCTGCGTCAATTATTCCCAGATATTCTTATTTCCCTCTAGTATCCAATTTTCAGAGTTCAAACCTATCATTTTTTTTAAACAATTAAAAACAACTGCTTTCCCATGGGAAGGATCTTTTTAATTAAATTCAGAGTCTTATTTCAAATCCATCTAGACCCTTAATCTGTTTGTAATTTTCAAAAAACAGTGTTCTCACCATTTTTTTTCCTGTTTATTCCAAAAAAGAGTAAGCGTGTTTTTTTTTAAAGTAAACTTTTATTTATTTATTTATTGTTGAAGGAAATGTATACAGTGCTGTAAAATCTGTCACTTCCAAAGTTCCTAATCGCTGAAAAATAGTTAATAAATTATTTCCAAAAGTTGCTAGAAAACAGAAGTTTATTAACCCTGGGCCAACTATGATTTGAGTGAAGCTGGCATTCTCCGCTCCCAGAACTCTAAACCTGCCAGATACCAGTGCTTTGTTACCTCCTTATGGGGAGCAACTCTCTGGAGCACTTGTGGGAGATCTCAAGTCTTCTCTTTTTCTGGAGAGGAATCCTAATGATTGATCTATTCACAAATTCTTGATTCCACTGGAGTTATTGGCTCCAGTCTCTGGACTGGAGCTGTTTTCAGTTCAACATTTCTTCTCCAGAGGTGATCTTTACTGTACACCTTGCCTTCTGGAGCAGAGGTTTCCCTCTAATTTCATTTTTTGTGTACTTCTCCAATATTTAATATTTCTACCTTTATTTTGATATCTTCTGATTTTTATTCCTGTTGGTTAGGAGATTAGGAGGAAGAAACAAAGCAGAGTCATGGTTCTAAGATAGTGAAGTTTAAAGAGGACTGACAGAAATTCATGAAAGTAGCCAACTATGACTCAGGCTTTTATGTCGCATCCTCCCCTCTCCAATGTCAAAGGGTAATCTCAAATGTTAACCTTTTGATTGTGTCACTTATGTGCTGGATGTGGAGAAAAGGATCATTTACAGCTTTATTTTTGCAGTTGGGAAATGGGTCATTTCAGAACATTTGCTGTGTGGATTTAGTGGGGAGACCTGACCAGTCTAGACTTTCCAATCTATATGGTTTAGATTGTCGAATGTGCATTTCTTATATGCCTATTTCCCACATTTAATATATAAATGGAAGGAATGGTCTTTGAACACAATCTTTGGAAGTGTTCCTGGATTTTATCTGGATTTTTCCATCACATCATGTGGATTTTTATATTGGCTATAAATCTTGGCTTTCCTTTTCTTTTATTCACTTATGCAAAATTTCTTGTACTTAGAATATCAAAAATAAACTCGAATGTACCATGTAGTAAATTATTTGAAGTATACAAAGAAGACAGGTGGTTACTTACTGGACGTTTATAGTACTTTGAGAAGATTTGTTATAAAATGCTTCTTTATAAGAAAATCCCCTCTCTTAGTCAACAGTGCCCTCTGTATATATGATGTATACATTATACTATAGATGTTTTTGTAGATTTTCACGGGTATAGGTATGTAGGTCTAGGTGTGTTTGGGTCTTTTCCCATGTAAGATTAAGAGTATCTTGGCAATGTTTCGGCAAGGTCCCACTCACCATCCTCAGGCTGGTGCTTTCGACTTCATGCCAGTGCAAGCAGTGTGTGATCGGAGCTGCTGTCTCTCTATAAATACTGGCGGGTGGTGGTGGTTTGCTGGTCTGGTTGGCTGTGCTGTTGCCTCTTGATTGGTTGATGGAGTTGATGTTGGTGTAATGGGCTATGTGATGGTCTTGTGAATTTTGTTGTGGAGATATCCTGGATCTTGTGCTTTAAGCTCCTGGGTCATTTGTCACCACACAACCCATTACCCAAGCCGTTACAACACAGGAGGCTAATGGAAAAGAGATC